CGTGGTGATGACGAATTATAATTATACAAAAAGAACATTTTGTTATATGAGAGGAATAGATTTCAAGATAAAAATGATTGGGTAAGTGGAAGCTACTTAGCCCCCATAATTATATTCATTTACCAACCATAACTAAGATTTTGTATATACCTGATGGTTGTATGAAGTTAGTAGCCCTACTCAAGCTTGGATCGAACAGAACATTGAATAAAATTATACTTTTGGATATCAACTTATATTCATAGTTACTTAAGTAATGTATGATACACAAAATAAACGATAAAAATACCCTAGACTTGCCCTGTTAACACTTGGGGCCTGTTTGCCTGTTTGAAAAAGACATTTCAAGGACGGTTCTTTCAATGAATCCGATACGTCAGCATTCCAAAGAAATGGAAGCTTAGTGAGATAGTTGACTGCCGAATAATGATGTACAGCCTCATGTTTTGTTTTAACCGTACATTTCCCGAGAACTAAAAATAGTATAGCAGTTGAAAGAGATCCCATTTTAGTACCCCAAATCCTGCTCATACAATACTGACTGCTCTATACAATATTGGTCTCTCCAATCGAATTTCCTGACGTATTGACATGTAGTATTCTTGTAAGTTGTAAGATTTTGGTAGGATGAGGGGGGGGGTGACGGGACACCAGCATAATGACGATAAGTGCTAGATCTATAAATAGACCACTCACCTTCCTCTTCCCTTTCCCTTTTCTATTTTGCTCTACTTAAATTTAATGAAATTATACCAAAATTTACTTGATACGGGAATCTTATCAAGGTGTGGAAAGTCTCCCTATCTAATTTTAGCCGCTGACCTGGGCACATCATTCAAATTACCATGGGTAGCTATTTTTGGCATCATAAAAGTTCAAAACTGACCCTTTTTATAAAATTTGGTAGGCCTACTTTGCTTCACGTGAGGCAGTGTTTCCATAAGGACTGATCAGTGTATGCCCATTTTGTGGTAATTGCAGATTAAGTGGTAGTACAGAGATAAGATACGGGTTGACGTCAATAAGTATAGTTCCATCTAGAACCTTAATTAATGATAAGTTGACCGCGTGGTGTCGTTAAACAAGGAAATGTACTGACAATTGACGTTGATGGAACTACGTTTACGCACTACTTGTTATAATAAGTAAGCAAAGAGTGTTGTACTATGGGTAAACTAGCACTATCGTTAACTACATTATACACGTGGTGAGTTTACAATACATTGAAATATTTAGATTGTTAATTGACTCAATGCAGTTTGCTTACATACTGTTTGTTCAACATTAGCAAAGAGCATTGTAAGCTCTTATTACCGCTATCCTCAGTAGAAATGAAGTGAGTTTACAATACATCGAAAAAGATTGACGTTTCGAGGATACTTTGATTTTGCTTACAGATTACTTGCTCAAAGTTAGCAAAGAACATTGCATTGTGGGTAAATCATCACCACTGCTATCTGCAGTAGAAGTGCGATGAGTTCACAACAAATATTAAAATTGATTGATTGAAAATTGATTTGATGAAACTGTACTTTCAGACTACTTGGTCAAAGTTAGCACTATGGTTAAATTTCAAACCACTGATATGACTTTGTGGAGGAGTGGTGGGCGAGCTTACAATACAATGGTATGGAATTGGAGGCTGATATGGTGAAACTTTGCTTACAAACTGCCCGGTCAAAGTTAGAAGAGACCATTGCACTATTAGTAAACTATCGTTAGTTATAGTAGAAGTGCGATGAGCTGGCGGTGAGATAACAATGACGATGAACCTCCATGCAATGACCTTCATTGTGACAGGGATGTTTTATACAAGCAGCTGTAGATGGCTGCCCAGTGTGTATATGATGTCATGTTGATGTTCTTTTCCGTTTTAGAAATATTCGACAGAGTGAACATCACGTTTGCTAGCTCTCATCACCCCAGTAACAGTCAAAAACTGAGTTCATTATCCAGATAGTAATAAAGCAATAATGTTTCATCGTGTATTAATTCCCTTTATCGCTATTACACATGATAAAACAGACATCATCATTATTATCATCATTATCACCATCAATACTGGTTAAACTTCTTGTGCAGTTCAAAAGTGATAATTGAAATCACGTTAAAGAAGTAACGAGCTTGTCTTTTGTTTTTAATAAAAAATATCCCGATAGCACTTCAGGCATAAGTAATTTTCATCACATGGGTTGTATTAAGGGAACACCTATGTTAATCTAATTATGACCCAAACTGTCATTACATATTGTCATTTTATACCGAGCGCGGAAGTCGAAAAGGAATACGCAAGTAATGAAGTGAGATGCCCTCAGGAATTTCTGTACAAACTTAGAACATAGTTGCCCGGGGCTGCATGACAGGGTAATCTATGGATCCGTCTTACACCCCTACTAGCTAGGGTTCATTCATGCACCCACTCTAGAGTTCTTCTTTCTTAACTTCCAGGGTTCATTACTACACCCCTTTCATGGATCTCTTAAAACCCCTCTAGCGGTTCTACCTCTCACAAGACTGTGATGAATTTCGATCAGATTCGAAACACCCCAAGGCGGTTTACTCGAAACGAAACATACAGTTGCCCGTGGCCCGATGTGACAATGTAACAAGGGAACACATCTTACACCCCTTCTTGGATTCGCTCTTACGGAACTTCCAGGGATTATACCCTTTTTAGGGTCTATTCTTGTACCCATTCCAGGTCTATTTCTTATACCCTTTGTTGTGGTTTCATACCTCTACCAAGGAACGGATAGATTAGATAAGTGTTGAGAAACCCCTATAGCGAATCAGTATAGAGTTGCCCGAGGCCCGATGAAAAGATATCCAGGGGACTCGTCTTGCACCCTTCTAAGGTTCGCTCTTACACCCCTTCCAAGGTACGTTCTATCACCCTTTCTATTGTTTTCATATCCCTCACAAGACTGTGATGTATCATATCAGTCACCCTGGCGCAGTCCAGTCACGGTCATTATGCGAGACAAGGGATCCAGGGGGTAACACCTGTTCCTCCAAGGCTTTGACATCTTGGTAAGATCATTGTGATTCGTAAGATCAGCGGATGAGTCGCTGTGCGAAGGGGTGTGAGGAGTGCATCATGGGGGTGCAATCAAGGTATAGGGGTGCATCATCACAGTGTAAGGGGTGTAGCATTGCATAATAATGGCAGATTTAAAATTAAATCTCGATCAATACTATCAATACACATAGGACTGTCGTGGTCGAGTGGTTTAAGGCGCTTGACTTGGAGATGCGAAGGTCGAGGGTTCGAATCCCGACACGGCACTAATATCCTTTGACAAGATATTAACCTGCACTTGCTACTCTTCACCCAGGTGTTAAATGGGTACCCGGTAGGATGCGACCGTCATTGTTGGTCAAACAGTTTTTGAGCGTCATGTAACGCCTGGCTGGAATGCGCTATATACAAATTAAAATATTATTAATACCAAGTTCGAGAAAATTGGATCGCAAAATAGCTGCGAAAATTGAAATCTAGAAATGAAATTCATAAAGGTATAAGAAGAAAATTGTTGTTGACATGGGGAAAATAGTCGGTGGTAGCAATGGTCTTTGAACCAGAAGGTCCCAAGTTAATAAAAAAAAACACTCTAGAGCAAGTACGACATATCTTTCTCATGTGTACCGAGTTAAGTCAAAATATTCTCGTCCACCTAATCTTTGTATAACATTGATAGCTCTTGTAGAGCATGAGTAAACCAAAATATTAAAATAAGAATGCACTTTCGACATACATTTTGCCTTATTATCACTTAAACTTGTGTGGCTTAAAATCATCCTTGGACTTGCCTGCGAATGATGTTGTTGTTTTTTTGGATAAAAGCTGAAGTGAAATGATTTTTGACCTAGCAATCATGAATAGTACAAATTATTGTTATAATACAAGATAATGATTCTTTTTGCGGTATAATCTTAATTCAACAAAAAGGAATAAATCGACAGAAATGAACAATAAAGATCCGGACATGATAGCGAGGCCTACATGTGTTATTACATTGAAACATTGACCTTTCACCCAACCCTACGCATTTTTTACAAAAAGGGATGCGATTAATTTTGGCTTCTGTGGGGCACAGCTGTGAGGTTGATATCAAACTAGTTCCACGCTGTTCTTTCATCTCGAAGGGTATGTTGGGATAGGCACCGGAAGTCGCGTATATCATATTTGCGTATATGACTCTACTCGGGGGCACGTATCTAAATTTGGACTCGTGTATATAAGCTGTGGTGTAATACTGTCATTGTGTTAGAATATCGTTACAGACTTTCAAATTATACCAAAATCATTTGTTTATGCTGGCTGTAGTACTAGCCTATATGAATTACAAATTTAGTTCTATCATGAATTCAAATAGTATACGTGTATGCAAGTTTCATCACCAATTGCAATTGCGTATTTAATTGACAAATGACTGGTTATTGAATAACGAATTAAAACAAGCAATATCTTCACAACATGTATGATGAATGTTAGCAGTAGTTTACCACGTACCTTTCATACATTTTCGTTTGTATTGCCCTTCATTTTTAGTATTAAATCTATGTAAATTGACATGGCAGTGTAACATTTAAAAATACTCAATGTCTAATGCCTTTCATTCTAGTAATAACTCTCTAATACATTTCTTAAAATTGAAACTAAAAAGACGTAACTAAAGCTCAAGTGAAGCGCATGAATAAATCTGTCATGCTTCTATACCATATATAATATAAAAACACAATTAATATCACAATCACATTATGATACCTACCCTCAAGAATGAGTTTCCACTTTGTATCAGTCAAAGCATTTGTCATAGTTTTCTTAACAATTTTCAATTCTTTGGCACTTGTATTTATAAAGCATCACAATGCGAGAAGGCACTTTTTCGAGGCACTTTTTTCGAGAAGACACAGCCTGCGTGACATTGCATGTATCGGGTTCCCGCCGTGTCTTCACACATAATTATCCTCAGCATTGTTTTAATTTTTTCTTACAAAATTTATCATGCATCGGATGAATTATCACTTCGTGGATATCCAAAGGTCTTGAATTCCACAGTGCTGGCATCGCTTCCCTGTTCATCCTTAACCGATCCCGACACCGTAGAAACATCGCTTCTGTCGCTCCTCGAATCTTTCACGACGTCATTCGACTTCTGCTTCATTTCAAACGACAGAGTAATGTCGACAGTTGGAATCTCTTTGTTCGTAGGTTTGACTTCATCACCCGATAATGAAATCACCGAAGACGATTTCACTATGTCGTTCGTGGGTCTTGCTATCTTGGAGGATGTTATAGTCGATGGTGCGATTATGACTGGGAACGGCGTGGCTGATTTCTCAATGTCGGTGTCGTTCGTGTGCTCCATATCCTTGTTTCGTTTCGAGGCGAAACATACGGGACCGGTGACGAGGAGGAGCACGACGAGGAGAATGGTGAGGAGAACCTCGGCAATCATCACGAAGATGAAGATGAAGTCTGATGATGTGAGATCGCTTGGTGGAATGATTGTCCGATTGATGTTTTGACTGACAGGATCGGGATCGTAGGTGTAGTCCAGGTTAGGATGGTCTAGGAAAGGATCACCGCCATCCATTATCGTCGTGTCGCCTTCGTCAGCCAAACCAGACGATGATGAAGATGATGATGAGGACGATGATGATGATGATGATGATGACGTCATTTCAGCCATAATGTTTGCTGCGTCCGCCATGGATGATGGTGGTATCAGCTGAAATGCAATAGTCAGGTTTCCAACTGATAAACCATTTTGTGTCACCATCGTTTCATTTCCATTAGCATTGTTACCTTGTTCTAGACCCGTCCCATTTGTAGCGTCAGAATACCCTGTATCATATGCTCCATTTGAAAAGTTCTGGTTGTTACCCGAATCCATTGTAAGACTATTGTTAAACTCTGCAATGGGCGTCACCGTGGCAGGTGAGTCTGTTGTTGCGTTACCACTATCAAATTTTGTCACAGGTGAATTTGTTGAATTAATTGAATCGCTAGAATTCGTCATTGATTCCGGTCCAAACGGGATGACTATAGCTGGTTGACGTGGTTCCCAGAGAATAGAAGAATCGACGGATCTTACTTTGAGGTACAGTTCTCGTTTGGGAGTGGCCAGCGAGAGAGGTGGAATAAAACACGATACCTTGAGACCGTTGTCTTCGGAGATGACACGGTGGATGATTAGTTCATCTCCATGGTGTGAGAGACGGAATCGAGATGGGGCAATGGTGGGGACAATATTCCAAGTAAAAGCCTGAAGTCGTGGCTCTGCTGTCTTGGGCCCTTTGGCAGGACAATGGAACCGTACCTCCTGTCCTTCATCCACTGTAGACATTGATCGCTTGCGGAGGATGAGATTAGAGTACGGTTTGACGTGGAGCGGGTCAATGGTGCAGGAATCGCGAAAGGTTCCCCAGTCCGTACCGTTATGATGATCATACTCCACTGAGCATTCAAACACTGCCCCTTTATCATGGATGGACACCTGGAACAGGTGCATCAGCTCCGGGAAATACTTCCCAGTCCCGAATTGGATACCTTCGAATCTTGTCCTGGACACCACCATGTTTCCATTCTTTGTCCAGTTCATGCTGATCTTGGAATTGGAATGTCCTGCACCATCGAGCTTACATCCCAGCCGAAAGTGGACCCCGGCGTGTAGGTGTCCAGGATTCGGGTCTCCAATACACCTTAAAGCCGGCCGCGGCATCGGCGTGATGACAGTCACTGTAGCCACCTGAGATCGACGCCAGCGTCGATAGTTCAGCTCCCCGAATTCGACCACCGTGCAGATGTAATCGCCGGCATCAGCCTCCGTTATGTTTGTGACGAGGAGGTCGTACTGGAGATTGCCTTCGGTCTGTTCGCCGACGACCACCAGCTTGCCTTCCTCCGATGAGAACGACTGCGTCCCACTTGTCAGGAAAGACGACGTTGGATTTAGCTTCATCCATGCTACGGCTTGGTTGCCGCCGAGATGGGACACCGAACAGGTCAGAAGAGCCGACTCCCCGAGAAAAGCAGTAACATTTAAAGGTTCCTTTGTGAAAAGGGGTAGTTCCTGGTTATAACCATAATGCTGAGTCAAAACACCACTCACCAAAGTACAAAGGACTACAATCAAACCGCACTTTTGAGACATGTTTGCAAAATATTTATATTTCCCGTTCAGGAACACTTCAATAAGGCACAACAGATTGAAAGTGAAGTACAAAAGCACGAGTCCACGTTTCTGATCAGTGAAAACAGGTATGTGTCATGTTCTCTTGCCTCTAGCTTGCACACGTCTGCCCCGAGTGATGTCCTTGTGCTCGAATGACGAGCGCTACGGTGTGTGCCGGGTTACAAACGGGGTAGACGGCTTCACGCTGATGAAGAAAAAAATGAGTGTGCGTGCGAACACGCAAGGCATATCCTTGGGCTGTGCCAGAGAATATTGAGCGCTTCATGGCAAAATGTTAGTGGTACTTAATATAAATAATATAAGTTCTCGAGACGAAATTGGGACTAATCACTAATCTCTTTTCTCTTGTCTCACTACTGCTCTCTCTCTCTCTCTCTCTCTCTCTCATTCAATTGCTCTGTATCTTGCTATTTATTACTCAATCATAGTCATACATTAATATAGAATTATATCATTACACGAACTGAAAAGACATCCATAAGATATGAATCGGTTTGAAATATGATAGAGAGGCCAATCATTTCTTTAAAAATTGTTATAATTACGTGTCGCATGAACCTTAGGGTTAATAGCCTATAACTTTACAATATCTTTGATGAATATGTCTTTTAAAATTGTAGAAATGTGCTCATATGTTTAGCCTCATACATGGAATGACTTGTATTACCAAAGGGCAGTGTGTGCTAGATCATGAGCGGGAAAATTAAAATATGTAATAATAAGAATTATAATAATAATGCATTTGTTATAAGTGCCTTTTCGTAAGATACAAGCACATAAACAAATAAATCATTAAAAATCAATTAAAGAGAGAGAGAACATGATCATAAAAAGATTACATTAATTACAACACAAAGAGGAATATTAAAACAAATTCAAAAAGATGTGTTTTCTGACACTTTTTAAAAGCTTTTGGAGTATGGCAATTCTTTGGTTTTTTCAAGGTGAATCCTTTCCTTTCTTTTCTCCATCATTGAAAAAACGTACAACATTTGTTATTGTTTATCCCGATGGCTTTTTTGTTCCGTTTTCTATCAATTAAATATTTCATGGTCGAGGTGACTTACTGTTAAAAATGGGAAATGATGCACTATATAGAACGTGTTCCAATGTGTGTATTAATATGTTCTCCAGGATATGACTTGGTGTTGCTCTCTTCAGATTCAATATTTGGCCTAGGAAGAAATTAGGCACTATAAATCGAATTCATTCCCATATATACATATTGCAGATGCATAAACATCGATCATTTGATTTTACTCAAGTACCGGTATTTGACAAAACATATCTTCATTTCCGGCCTTTTATATTGACATATCTTTGAGTCATTTTTTAGACAAACTCAAGTTACTTTAAACCAGCATCCAGTTTATTTAAGTATCCTAGATTAATTATGGAAGAGTTTTTTTTTATTGCAAGTATTCACATCTTATTCTCACTAATAATGAACTAAATGATTATCACTCCCATAACATCACTAACCCATTGCATACTAGAACCTGGTGACCCCTGTATAAATCCTATGGTAATAAGATAATTCAGAAGTCAATGGATTAACACGATTGAAGATAAAGTTTTTAGAAACATTGTACATAACTTGTAACGGCCAGTTACTATAATTAGCACAAATGAAGCCGTTTCCTACGATGTCGATCGGGGTACGTCCAGGCGGTGTATCTGGTCACAACTGTTTTCTTGCGCCTCAGTAATTACAAACTTCCCTTTCACATCAGCTCTAATTGAAGACTGTGCCTAATGGGGGTTTAATAACCCGTAATCGAATACTTTCTACAAATCGTTTAGGGAAGGGCTAGAGAATGTCCTTAAAAAACTTGCATAGGGTTTCTTGAAATGTTAGAGTTTTGGGAACAGCCCTTCTTGTGTTATTATTTAGGATGTTATGTTTAACATGAATGGGTGAGAGTGCATGTGATTTTACGGATGTATCGAATGTTGCAATAGGATTTACCCAGTATGAGGGCTGAATAACTGTCAAAGTAAAAACAAATAGTATATTTAAAGAGTATAGTATAGATACAGAAGGTCATAATTATTACATAATTGTCCAACTGAGAGAGAGAGAAAGAAAATGGAAAAAATAAAGACATAAATCCTACAGATTGTAGATACAAGGGGTATACATGGATATTGGTTTAGATACACAGAAAGAGGGAGCGTGATATATATAGGAGTAAAGGAGAATTTTTGCTGAACACTTCACACAAATTTTTAAGTAAAACCAATGTTGTGAAATTCTGTATAACACGGTCAAAGAAAGTTTAAAAAAAAACATTATTACAAAGATATTGCCCTTATTCTCAATAAATAAAAAAAAGCATATGTTGGTCGAAGTTTATCAAAGCTTTCCCAATCCTCTCTCTCTCTCTCTCTCTCTCTCTCTCTCTCTCTCTGTGTCTCTCTCTCTGTCCCTTTCTGTCACTCTCTCTCTCTCTCTCTCTCTCTAGATGAATAGATGACAAATAACAAATATACAAATAAATAAATGAATTGACAAAGAGTAGTATATCGTTTTGCAGATTAAAATGTTACACAAATAATTGCAGCTCATGAGGGTGCAAAATAAGGTGTATCCCTGAAAGGTGCATATTAAATTGAACCTCTAGGGCTTCATTTGCTCCCTATTTCAGAGGATGCCCCTCTTGAACGATTTAAGGTGCAAATTCGAAACTTTATTTCTGTATTGTTTGTACTGTATACAATTCCCACTGGTTACAAATAAATTATCTCGTACAGTTTGGCAACGTCATGTTCCCGTTTTCTGTATATGTCTTTAGCCCTGATAAACAGATTTGAAGGGTTAAAATAGATGTGAAATTTCGTAAACATGGTGTCCTACCGTCGATAGACCGAAAAGAAAACGTCCGCGTCTATCAGGTTTCTGTTATGATGACATTATAGCGGGAAGGATATTGATAAGATGGTGCTTCTTTTAAGCAAACCTAGCTCTTGCAAACTCATCTATCAATTTGTAGTAAATTATATTGTGAAACTATGCGATATTTGTTATACTTTCCCTGATTGTCTTTCTGTATACACTATATTATAGGTCTGTCTTTCTGCGCTATCAACCCCCCTCCCTATCTCTTTCATCACTTCCCTTTTCTCCAAGTTTCCTTACCCCCCCCCCCCCTCCTCCCTCTTTCTCTCTCTCTCTCTCTCTCTCTCTCTCTCTCTTCTTCTTCTTCTTCTTCTTCTTCTTCTTCTTCTTCTTCCAACTCCTCCTCCTCCTTCTTTTTCTCCTTTTCCTTCTTCTTCATCGCCATCTCTTTTTTTCTCTGTCTGTTTGTCTGACATTCTATGTGAGTGTGTGGGCATAGAGACGGTACAGGATTGCTCAATTTTCAAGTTGGCGCCACTATTTCGCCTGGTTTTAATCCACTAGCTTACACCACGTAATGGATGGGACATGCATGACTATACTATACACCTGTTAGACTTAAGCGTCACTTTAGTGCATACATGACGTGTGTTAGACACATGGTATAACACCCCAACATTATTTTGTGACTCTGTTGGTGAAGCTCCACTTTCCGACGTAACACTTTTTTTTAATTACAACTGCTTGAAACAATGAATTGGAGGTGTTGAACGGGCCCCATTACATAAGACTTTAATTAAGATATCCTTTTTCGAGGTCAAATACACATTTGACTCTAGTGACCTAATTGTAGAAATGAATCTTTGTTTGTGATTTTATTTTCTTCTCTTGTTTTTTTTTATATGTATTGATATCCGCATGTTTGTATTACTTTGGTCTTCAGGTTATCATGAATGTATCATCATCTTCACATACTTATGATCGCTTATACGACCAACCTCCTTACCTACACGACTTGTGTTTTTGTTTCTAAATTAACGCACATGATATTGCTTAAATTCGTGCGAATTTCCATCATCATATAATTTTCTATTGGCGTCGTATATCGTTCGCTTTCACTAGCCCAGTCTTATAATTAAGGTTTTACTGGGCATCGTATTATTAACTATCTTGATAACAAAGCGAACCCTATCATAGACAAGATAAAAATAAAGGATAATCGCTTTTGTCCATGATGCCACATTAACGTCATTCGTTGTCTCATGTAAGGATTAATTAAGCACGCGAACAACGCACCTGCTTGCATCTGACACATAATGACTGAAGATTTGGCCTCTTAATGATGAAGGGTTATTAGGATATTGACATCAAAGGTCTTCCCAACACGTATATCAGCATGTTAAGTGCCCACACTTCTAGGGAAGATGATGTTTCTTGCCCAAATATTTACTTCCCAGTTTTAAAACTTAGCGAGCGACAAAAAAGATGAGCGTTTCTAAAAACTGAAGGAGTGACCACTTTTTTTAAAATGGTAAATTAACACTTTGAACATGCTGGATCCAACATTATAAAGGTTGAATCTAGCACGTCGAAAGTGTTAATCTGATATTTTGAAAAAGTGGTCACTCCTCGGCCTTTTAAATGGTGATTTAACATTTCAGTTTTTAAAGTTTTCTTATGGCAGTGTTATCCCTGGTAATGTTGAAAATCACTGGAGGTGAACCCACCAATTTCACCGCAGAAGACAACGGGCAAACTAGTTACAAAGCGATACCGTCACTGACGGGGTTTGATGAGGTGACTGTTTCCCGTCATTGTAGTTTCAAAGTTTTCGGAGGGGGGAGGCTGCAACTCATTTGCCCCCTACCAAGACATCGTTTAATATAGGTTCACGTCTATAAATTGGATGTTTTAGGCATTTACAAAAATGTGTTCGATAGTTTGCTGTAAACTGCTTATTGACACATTTAAAGGTGACGATTTGGGAGGAAGGCATTAATTGTTGTCCTTTGTTTGTTCCAGTAATCACATTACCCTCCATGTACACTTTAATTAGTTGTCCAAATGTACACTATATAAAATGTAGGCCTAAAAATAAAAAATAAAAAATAAGCGTATAATACACTTTAGAAACTAAACTGTAAATTCACCATTTAAAATGGCCGAGGAGTGACAAAGAAATATTTATTTCCCCATGAAGATGTTCGATCAAACACTATAATGGTGATAAGAAATGAATCCAACATGTCAGAAGTGTTAATCCTCCGCTTTGAACACGCTTTTAAATGTTGATTTAATATTTGAGATTTTAA